GGCGGTTAGTTTTTATGCAGTTAGTGAAGTTGCCAAAAAAAACAATTAAATTCCTTGAACTAACGTTTTTTTTGTTCAGATTTATTTGGCTAAAATGGTATTATTAAGTTTCTAAAGAGCTGTAAAATAATTGTTTCAAGAACTTCCAATAGATGGCAAAAGATGATAACTTATACCAGTAAAATACATTTTTTTTTGTAAGTTACACATATTGATTATAATTTGGCTTCATTTAGTGAGTAAGCAGTTTCTTTAACAATTAATATTTTACAATCTTTTGTACGGCATAAAATTCTCAAATCAGAACACATAGGCGCACCGTCACATCTTATGAATACTGCAGATAGATGAGCTTGAGATGTCCTTTAATGCCTGTTGAATGGCAGCGAACTGTCCATCCCACATAGTCTCCTGCACACTGAGGACAAATAAAGTGATAAATAACCAAAAGTATTAAGGTGTGGGTATATTATATTTAGCATGAAAAACACCTCAAACCAAGCTAAGGTAAAGACAAGTTGGAAACAAAAAATAATGAACATTTGAAACAGTTTAGGCACATCTGTGATATGCAAGTATGTTATGTATTCTGTATATCAGTTACTTTTTTACCACCTTTAGTTTGATTCTATGCAGTTTTTAGCATGAAAACACTGGTACAAAACCACTGGAATTCTTTTGTTCGAGCGTAATATTGTGTCGTTTGTATCTTTCTTCAACTGTTGTATCAAATTTCGTTACATCTGCCTTTGAGAATGTAAAGGCGTCCTTTCATTGGCGGGGGAGACGACATTGAAATGCCTAAGACTCTGAATGTTAAGAGAGAGTGTGTGATAGGTCACGTGGTGACATCATCAAGACAAAAAAAAAAGAAACGATGGTTTTGTGCAAGCATAAAGTCTAGTTTTTGAGGTCTTTCCGACTTGGCTATCATCGTGATTGATTCTGCAGAGATTCACCTCGAGGAAAGAAAACCCGAAGATCTAGTCACTCATTCATCAGAGGGGCTGTCCATTTGTCTACGCATTACGCACACTTGATTTGTGTGTGTGTAATATTGTTTTCACTCTCCTTAAAATGGGTCCAATCTGTTTTTCTTTCCACGTAGCTTAAAAACTCAATTGAGTTTTCAAATTCAGGTAATTCAGCAAATTTCCTGTTCGACCCTACTGTTATTAGCGGATCTATCCTATACTTGTTGGGAAGTCAATTTATCGGATAATACCACAAGTGGATAGATAAAATGAAATCTTTGACGCCATGATCACAGGATATATTCTAGAGTTTCTGTTTTTGTTATGTGCATACTATCCCTTGCTTGATCTCTTGCATTGATGAGTTTCAAGTAGCACTTTTAAGGAAGAAATGATTGTTATAGACATAAAAGTACCCACAACACCCAAGGAGAAAGTGGGGAAACTGAGAGTTTGGTGCCACTTGCAGATTTCCAGCCAGAGAACAACAAACCCATTTCTCGTGTAGACCATTGATGAGTTAAACGTACTGGTTATGGACGAACTTTGCTAGTTAGAGTTGTTTTCTTGGCACAGAAGACAGTAGGTACCCACAACACAGATAGGAAAATCATTAGGTCGAGCAATCACTGATTCGAAGGAAGTGGTGTTCTTTGTTTTGTACTTTCGTTAGCTATCCACAGGATAATGGATGATATTTGCTTAGGCATCATTAGCTAGGACAGTCACTGATCTGCACCATCACAGACTGTAAGAAAGTAGCATTCCTTGTTTACCAAGTTATTAAATGATGAACACTATCTAATTTATGTACTAAGTTTGTGTGATTTTCACTTGATTTCAAAGTAAGGACGGACATGTGACTGAAAAATCAGAGACTGAAAGGATGTTGTGACTCTTTGTTTTCCGAGCTAATGTGAATTTTGGGATGCAAAAAACATCTAGAGAATCATTTCCATAATTTAGTTGAATGGTAAGAAATGTATAGAACATGCTTCCTTATAATCACAAGGTTTTCGACCTAATTACTTGGATCTACGAGTTATGAAAGAGTTGTGCAAAACAATATGAAAATAAAAAGAGTATAGAGACAAAAGAATTTGATTCCAACAGTAAGAATATTGATGAATATGAGGTTAACTGTAATAAATAACCTGGAAAGTATTATTGGAAAATGTAGTGTACCTATTGTATAATATATTTCATTAATAACTGAAAGATAATCTTTCAGTTTTGACATTGAAATGTTCGGCAGATAGTGAACCTTCATAGAAGAGATAAGATTAACAAAAACAAAAAGACTCAAAGTATGAATGAGAGAAAGAAATAACACAGTTTAACTTGTGGTTTCTCACAAAAAATTGTACAGAAGATATTTCAACTGGCTCGAGTTGAAATATTCACGAGCAGGTGAAATTATCAGTAGCAAACGAAATTCACAGACAATGGCTTAGATATTTCAGCAAAGATATTTGTGTAATGTACCCAGTGTTTTATTTGATTGTGAGAAGAA